ACTGGCTTGGAACATTGCCTGAAGCCGCAACAAGGCAACACATTTAAGGCTTGGAACTGCACCGGCACTCCTCTTCAGGTATCTAGCCCAAGCAAATAATTTGTCCTGGGAAAATGGGGTTGGCAATGCTTAACCGTATCGGCGTGGCGTGCAAAGCGTTCAATGCAACGTGTGTGTGTGTGTGTGTACCTGTGTAAGTATGTCAATGTCTGTGCGTGTGTATTAGAGTCTAAGAGTGTGTCCCTTTGCATGCAAGGGTGATTGTGGGTGTGTGGGTTTGAGTGTGTAAGTACCTGTGTGTGTGTGTGTACGTGTGTGTGTGTACGTGTGAGTGTGCGTATCAAAGTATGGAGGTATGTACGTCACTTCTTATGATAATATTATGTACGTAACATGCGTACGTACATACATGCGCATGTGTCTGTACATACGTAGGTAGGTACGTAGGTGCCCGCGAATTTATGTTTGTATGTATGAATAAATAAATAAATAAACAAATAAATAAACAAATAAATAAATAAACAAATAGAATAACTCAATAAATAAACAAATACTGTCAAAAAAGGAAGGAAGGAAGGAAGGAAGGAAGGAAGGAAGGAAGGAAGGAAGGAAGGAAGAAAGGAAGGAAGGAAGGAATGAATGAATATATGATTGCTTGTGTTTTGTTTCTGCTTGTTTGTTTGTTGCATGCATGCATGCACGTCTGTCTCTCTGTGCGCAAGTATGTATGTATGTATGTAAGTGTTTATGTACGTATGTGTGTATTTATGTATTTGTGTACGTGCGTAGGCACGTACTTGCGTATGTATGCATGTACCTTGCTGCACTATACTGCACTACGTACATACGTATGCACCTATGTATGTACGATGTGTGTAGGTAGGTATGTATGCATGCATGCATGTGAGTATGTATGTATGTATGTATGTATGTATGTATGTATGTATGTATGTATGTATCTATGTATGTATGTATGTATGTATGTATGTATGTATCTATGTATCTATGTATCTATGTATCTATGTATCTATGTATGTATGTATGTATGTATGTATGTATCTATGTATCTATGTGTCTATGTGTCTATCTATCTATCTATCTATCTATCTATCTATCTATCTATCTATATATATATATATATATCTATGGTTGTGTGTATGGTTGTATGTATGTATGCATGTATGCATGTATGCATGTATGCATGTATGCATGTATGCATGTATGCATGTATGCATGTATGCATGCATGCATGTATGCATGTGTGCATGTATGTATGTATGTATGTATGTATGTATGTATGTATGTATGTATGTATGTATGTATGTATGTATGTATGTACGTAGGCAGGTAGGTATGTATGCATGGATCTATGTATGTATGTGCATATGATTATAGCTATGCATGCTGCATGCATGCATGCATGCATGCATCCATGCATGCATGTGTGTATGTATGTATGTATGTATGTATGTATGTATGTATGTATGTATGTATGTATGTATGTATGTAGGCAGGTAGGTATGTATGCATGGATCTATGTATGTATGTATGTGCATATGATTATAGCTATGCATGCTGCATGCATGCATGCATCCATGCATGCATGTGTGTATGTATGTATGTATGTATGTATGTATGTATGTATGTATGTATGTATGTATGTATGTATGTATGTATGTATGTATGTATGTATGTATGTATGTATGTATGTATGTATGTATGTATGTATGTATGTATGTGTGTGTGTATGTATGTATGTATGTATGTATGTATGTATGTATGTATGTATGTATGTATGTATGTATGTATGTATGTATGTATGTATGTATGTGTTTGTACGTACGTATGCACGAATGTATGTATGTATTTGCGTAGGTGTGTCAGTTTGCAGGTAGGTGTGGGTGCAAATGTGTGAGTTTGTGCATACGTGCAAATCCAAGTGTATGAAGCACGTATGAATATGTATATGAAAAGATGAATGCATGAAAGAGATGAATCATGATTGGATGCATGGACGGATGGACGGACGGACGGATGGACAGACGGATGGATGGACGGACGGACGGATGGATCAATGGATGCAGGCGTGCTTGAGTAAACCAACGCACAAATGGGCGATTTAACAAAACAAATAGATGGATGGATGAATGAATGAACAAACAAACAAAGCAACGAATGAACAAACGAATCAATGAGTTCATGAAAGAGCGAGTCCACAAATAAACGCATCAGCGAAAGGGATGAAAGAGTGAACGAATCAAGAAATGGATGAACGAACGAACAAATGAACATATGAATGAACAAATGAATGAACGAATGAACAAATGAACGAATGAACGAATAAACGAATGAACGAATAAGAGCAGAAATGCGAATGAAATGGGATGAAATGGGATGGGATGGGATGGGATGGGATGGGACGGGACGGGACGGGACGGGACGGGACGGACTGAATGAAGGAATGAATGAAGGAATGAATGAATGAATGAATGAATGAAGGGATGAATGAACGAATAAGCAGCTGAATGAACTAACGAAGGAACGAATAAACCAATGAAAGCAAGCTTGGATGCATTTGTGCATATATGCATGTAGGCAAATAGCCAGGTATGTACAATACCTGATGTTCTTTGTGCATGTGTGTGTGTGCAGGCGTTTACTTCTTTGTTTCTTTGTTTACTTGTTTGTTTCTTTGTCTGCATGCTTGTGTGCGTGTCTCTTTGTGCGCTTGTCTCTTTGTGTCTTAGCACATAACGAGCCAGTGCCGAGGCCCGCACTGCGCGCCATGTGCGGAAGGCGAGGCCTTTTTTTCTCTCCGGCGCAAAGGCGTCCGAAGAGAAATCTACGGGGATGTGGGCGCGGCTCAAAATGAAAGAGCTAGGGCAGACCGCAGGTTTTAGTCGTTGGTTCCATTTAGCAAGGTGCCATTTTGGTACATATTTTTGAGGCACGGCCATGTGTCATGGAGAGGTGTAAGCTTGTACATGGGCCTGTCTTTTGTTGCGGTACCCCTTTTTTTGAGGTGGTTGTATTGCGGAAAAACAAAAGGAAAACGGTTTGTAGGCAATTGCCCCAAAAGAAAGCAGAGAGAAACAATTCGCCACAAAGCCAATCTGAAAAAGGAGGTCGAAATCTGATCGACGCGCTTGAAGCGACTTCAGGTCCATCCATGGATCCAGCGTGTTGCGCTGGATTTCTGTTCACTGGATTTCTCACTTCCTGTAACATCGCACCAAAAGAAACCTCACTGAACATCGGCCCCAACAGGTGATGTTTAAAACATGTTGGAAGGGGAAATATGGGGAGCCCTGGTCCAGGTCTGAGGTTTCGTTGCGGCACGGGTATGTAGCTCAGTCATTGTAGAAAAACAGCACACGTGCAACAACATGTGTGTCGGCTGTATGTGGCTGTATACACATACATGATTTATGTACAGAACATGTCCAGTCTCGCACCTTCGCAGTCAGATGTTCGAGCCAGCGACCACTGAAAATGCCACGCGAAGGGACTCGGCCAGAGTCGAAGTTGTACATGACTGTTCAAGCCTTATCCTCGCAAGCCAATTGAGATGCGTGTAGCGCCGTGCTCAGATATCTGCTGGTTTCCGGTGAAGCATCGCATATCAGACCCTGCCAGGCCAAAAATGTCCCAGTTCTGCGGATGCAGCATGAGGGCTTTCCGATCGTTCGAAATCAGATTGGCAGTCCTTCCTGCGGAGCAAATCGGTTGTGGGGAACCAGCGCTGGAAGGAGGTTGGCCATCTTTGGCATCTTTGGGCTGGGGTCAATAGCTCATAGCCATCCATGATTGGATGTCAAGCCCTGCTGCTGTCCCACTACCATGGTCCTAACCATGTATAAGTAGGTCAGCGCCTCAAACAAAATGCAACAAATCCTTCCTTCAGCACCTCAAACAAATGGACATGGGTCAAAACCCAAATCGTACCCCCAGTGAACATCCAATCCAACCACTAAAATAGGTTCTAAAATGGGTGCTGAATTCACCGAAAACCCGCAAAAATGAGATTTCCCAAAACGGTTTTGACAGCCACAGCCCACATCTTTCGGCGCGCATTCGCGCGGAGAACTTTTTTGTCCCGCTGCCTGGAGGCCACGGCCCACATCGACGCATCCACGGCGACGGCGACGGCTGCATAGAGACGACGTAGGAAGCAGCGCTCGCAGCGTCACGCTGAGAGCGCCGGACCCAAAACCAGGCTGCAAGGAATGCCATCCCAAAACCATCCGCCAAAAAATCACAAAAGGAACTGGGTGGATTGTCTCTTTTGGAGGAGCTCGGTGCCCCCTTGTTTGGTGGTTTCAAAACAAAACCAAAAGGAAAACCACCACATACATTTTTTGTTTGGTGGGGGGCGGCTCGCCTAATATAAGACATACCCAACTGGACCCTTCGCTCGCGCTTGGCCAAAGGTCGCCCATCGCACAGCCATCCCCGGTTTCCGGGGAAGCTGCCTACCGGTGCAGTCCAGCGGCTCGAGCGTTCGAGGGTACCCTGTGTGCCTTGAACCACTACCTTTCTGTTCGGTTTTGGTCTAGATTTCTGTTTATAAAATAACTAATTTGATTCTATCCAGGCACCTGTTTCTTTTTATTTTTCGGGGGGGCTATGTTGACGCATACGCATATTGCATTTACCTTGAACCGCGTGCGTCTGTTTATTTTTGGGGGGTCTATGTTGATACCCATATTGCATCTACCGGGCAAGCGTCACCTCATTGGGTCTCGAGCGTGAACCCCCAGCTGGGTAAGCAAGAACGCCCGGTCTGCCTCCGGCAACACAAGCTGAACCTGGTGCGCGGAACCGGAGGCAAAGCGACGGAGAGAATCCTACGAAGCGTCATCGAAGCCAACGTTGGTTCAGCGCGCAACATCTTGCTGCTGGAACATTTGTGCCATGGCCAAAACTGTTCACGCGGAGCATGGTCATGCCTTCCCGCATAGGAATTGTCATCATGACATCAAAAATGCCGACAAATAACCATCCTCAGCAACCCCAGCCAAGAGGGGGTCTTTTGACCATGGCAAATGCGAATTCCTGCGAAAAGAACTGTATGAACAAGGCGCCATATCCAACTCCAGAGCGTCGCCTTGAAGCGACGCAAGTCGTGCATCTCGGTGGAAATGGACGCCCGGGAGGTGAGCCATGCAAGCGCCCAAGCGTCTGTGCCAACCTTGTGTTGGTGAGGCGCCCGCATCACCTGCCACCTTTGTGGAGGTGAAAAGAACAGCCCAGCCCAGCACCACTCCAAGCGAGCCGGTCACATGTCGGCGGCCGCCTGCCGCAACCTTAGCACGGCACAAGTCGTTGCCAAGCCCCAACACCGGATCCATCAACTTGATCAATGGACTGCCCCAAAGTGACGCGGAGATCAACAAGACGCAGATCAAAGAGAAAAGCGCCGCAGCCGGCAAAAGCCTCTTTCGGAATTGCGCCAAGCAGCATCTCATCCCGCTCACAGCCGAGCTGGTACTTACCGCAGCAGTACTCCTTCTTGTGAACGGACCACCCTCTCTTCCAATTTCCGAATCCTGCTGTACAGTCGTACGGCGCCTCGATGTCCCAATCACCATCCTCAGACTGCTCATCCTCGGACTGTTCATCTTCAATCTGCTCATCTTCAGACTGCTCATCGGCCTGCTCAGACTGCTCATCGGCCTCCTTTTCGCAGGCAACTCCATACTCCTTGCAGCAGAAGGTCTTCTTGTGCGGAGACCAGCCCTTCTCGGCATTCCCCAAGCCTTCAGCGCAGTTAAAGGGCTGTGAGGCGCCACAGTGCAAGTGCTTGTGCTGGCAGCACCAGGAAACCTGCTCTTCCTTGGATTCCAGAAGCTTCATTCCGCGACAAGTCCCTGTTTAAACATCTTTGATCACCGTTGAAGCTTTGAAGGTGGCCAGGTCGTTGTTACACAGAAACTGTCCAACCCATTTCGCCAACACTCAAGTGGCCTTACGCGATCGGTCCCTGAGAACGGTCTCTGTCCGCTAGTTTCATCTATGTGAAAGACAAATTTGGACGGAGCGTGATCACAGTGCACCACTCTTACCGTTACAAGGTGGCAACGGGTGAACCTACACCCAGTCCATTGAGGAAAATGGTCCAAACCAGAACTCCCCTTCTCGCCAGGTTCCATGTGGTTCCTTTCAGTTTCGCTTCGAAGGGCACCGACGGATGCTTCTTCAAACACCCGTTGCCCTGCTTGTCTCTCTTGTGTCACCCATGTCACCCAGGTGAAACGGCAACCTCCACCCCCAACGCAACCAAACTTGGACGACATTGGAAGGGGAGCAAAAAACTAATTTTAGCAGTTACGTGGGGATTTCAACCACTACAACACCATAAGCAAAGATGTTTCCGGGGATTTCCCACTAAACCACCATAAGCAAAAATGCTTCCAATGTTTCCCAACGACAACACAACCAAAGGCAGGCTCCAACGGCACGTGCCCCTCACGCACCGAGGCGCATGCTCCGCGGCGTCGCAGTCGAAGCGGTCCGCAACGCGGCAGCCGCGGCCGTAGCTGTTGCAGCACCACTCCCTCGAATTTTCGGCATAGTCAAATTTTCGGCAACAGCTTGGCAACCCACCCAACAAAAACCACGAAGCAAGGATGAACATGTATGCCCCAAAGGGCAAACCAATTGCAAGGGCAAACCAATTGCAAACCAGTTTGTGTTCAACTCGAGGCCAATTGCAAGGGTCTCGGCGGTAAGAAATGGCCAGGGGTCAAAAGCCCGGGTAGCACCCAGTGGTTACATCCCAATCCAAGCACTAAAATAGGTTCTAAAATGGGTGGTGAATTCGCCTACCCCAAAATGGTACCATTAGTTTTGACCCACAGCCAAATGTCAAGTACTTGATCAGTCTGATTCTCCAGGGCCAAGCATTTGGCCGAGAGACAGGCAAGGACGCAGAGAGCAAATCGAGAGAGGGAGTCAAGGATTTCTGACATCTTCCCGCCCGCTTCTCTTTCTCTCCTCGCCTTTGTGAACCTCCCCGCCCATTCTCTCGCCTAGAATAATCTGACAATTGAGCCAGGGACCATAAGCTCGAAACCTCGAATCCGCCCGTTGAAAGCCGATCCCAAGCGAGCAAAAAAAGAACCCTGAAGCATCAGCATGCTTCACATGCCGCGTTTTATGAGACGCCGAGCTGCTGCTTTGCGGGGGACCAGAGGCGCTCCCAGTGCTCGTAGCCCTCCTTGCAATCGATCCTGCGCGATGTTTTATTTTTGCCAGTCGGGCGACCAAACGGGCGGATGCCACATGCCCCTGGCCCCTGACCCTTGACCCTTGGCCGAAGCTGGATCCCCCGCCCCCCAAAACAGAAAAAAACAGAGTTTCCGACCATCCAGCCCCAGGCACCGAAAATGTGAGCTACTCGATCCGCTCAAATTGGCCAAAGAACTCGAACTGGCTGCCCGGATGTCCTTTTCATGGCGGTAAAGGCCTTCCAAGCTTCCCCTGGACGTCACTCCCCAAGTTCACAGGGAACCCAAGGGTCCCCCAAAAGGAGATTCCTCCATAAAATGTCTGGGTGTTGGTGGGTTTCTGGGGAGTTCTGTAGGTGAGTGGCGCACATGTCTTCGAACAAATCTGCTCGCTCGGCGAAGGCCTGCAGCCGATCTGCTTGGAGCCGCAGCAGAAGTTCCTCTCCCCGTCGGACCTTATGGCTCCGGCTGCGTCGCTTGCGGCTTGGGCGAGAGAGCCCAAGGGGCGGCGTGAAAAATGCGGCTGCCGGTTTTGCTACATGCAACAAGAAGCTGACCGCTCCGCAACGATGCGCAAAAGTTGGATTCGAACAACTGGGCGGCGGTACAAAAAGAAGAAGGAATTGCACCCCCCCCATTTGAACCAACTACCCAAAGGCGGTTCGGTGTTCTGAAGGTAAATGGACTTGGCCAATGGGCCTTGGGCAGTGTGTTTGTGTCTGTGTGTCTGTGTGTCTGTGCGTCTGTGTGTCTGTGTGTTTGTGTGTCTGTGTCTGTGTGTCTCTTAGCGTAGCCGCACTGAAGCAATCCCTACCGCCAGGCAACCCTCAATTGATTGCTTGGATAGGTGGTTTGGGAACTTGAACCCATGGTTGTGGAAAATGTAAATGGGAAGCCCTTCAATCAATCCTTCAATCCAAACCACCAACCACTGGAAAGTTCTTACCATTCAAACTAATGTCAGCAGACGATTAGTAAACCCCCCCCCGATTAAAGGTTTCCCCTTTTCCCCCCCAGGTTCCAACCAACACTAAAGTAAAGGGCCAACAAGATTTCCCAAAAAAAACCTACCCAATAATTGTTGAGCCTTCCCCAAAACCCCCCCGATTAAAGGTATCTCTCTGCAGCCCCCAAGCCAACAAAACCTGCCAGAAAGGTGTTTTCCTTCTTGCTTAGTATTTGCTGAGTCTGTGCTTAAACCCACCAATACTAAGTCACTATTGAACCCCTCAAGTTTTCCAAAAAAAATGTGCTTCCCCCGAAATGCATTTTTCCTTATTAAAATTTGTTTAAAATGACAAGGTGTTCAAGCTCGCAAAGGGGACCCCCCTTGGAGGCCAGTCCCCCCTCATTAACAGAAAACCCCCCGCGATTAATCAGGGGTCTTTTGGGCTCAAAACCCAAAAAATATGCTGTTGCCTTTTAAAGTCCTACTGCCCCGAAGGGACCAGAAGTAAGAGGACGAGGACCGCAGGGGCTCCAGAGTAATCAGTAATCAGGGGGGTCCTCCCAAAAAATCTCATTTTTTGGGACTTGTCCAAACCTTATCAACCTTGAAGGGGGGGGGGGGGGGGGGGGGGCGGTTTACTGGCACCATTACAAGACAAACCTCAACAACTCAGCGCTGAACCCAGCAGCGAAGTCTTATGACAAATGCGCAGAATGCCGGCACAAGTCATACCTACCTACCAACTGCCAGTAGCCCTCGCTGAGTGACGGGTTTCAAAAGTGCCGAATCCCGAGCACCTTTCCAACCAAACCAACCAAAACAAACCAAAACAAACCAACCAACCAACCAAACAGCCTATTAATCAACCAACCAAACAACCAACCAAACAACCAACCAAACAACCAACCCAACCCAACCAAACCCAACCCAACCCAACCAACAAACCAAACCGACCAACAAACCAAACCAACCAAAATCAACCAAGACCAAGCGCCGAAGGTTTCAGCCTGCCCCAAAGAGTTGTCAGTCTGGGAAAATCCCCCCGCATCAAAGACAATCGCTGGTTATCTGAGTGCACTTGGGACCCGGGTTGGACAGTTCAAGCCAAACTGCTGAAACCAACCAACTGCTTGAACAACTTCCTTTTGGCTTCCCCGAGAAAATCAGCAGATCTGCAGATCTCGCAGCTCGGAAAAGAAAAAAACAAACGCAAAAACCCAGATCCGCAAGGAACAAGTGCACGACCCAGCGACAATGGCTCAGATCAAGGAACAGATATGCCCACCCAAAGCCGACCGAGGGAGCCAGAGCCCTCAAGGGCCCCCTGCCACTGCTTTTCCTTGGCCTCGTCGCAGGCGAACTTCTCGCAGCCCTTCTGCTCGTTGGCGCAGCACCTTAGGATGCGACGGGCTGCGACTGGCGGCGGCCACGTTTTGGGACCCTATGGAGAAAACTTCTTTGGCGCTTAATGTAAAAAGTCGGTAAAAAAGTCAGCAAGCGCTTGTTTTACAACTGTTTGCCAAAAACTAGTAAAAACTTGATGTTGAAATTTCAGAAGCTTCAAATTTGATGAGTCTTGTCAATATACTCTGGCAGGGAGCCGTGTATACGCCCCCCCAAAAGTCAATGATGTACCAACCAAAATGCTTGTACCGCCTTCAACCATCATCCCGTGATAGCGGAGGGCACGGAGACCCAGTGCATTTGCTGAAGCTTGCGGAAAAAGGTGGGGCGAAAGAGGCTGGGGAAACCCGCCAGGAAAATTCGAGAAGTTCGCGAAGGACCCAGGATTCGACCAAGAGCTTCTCGGTTCGATGTTTCCGGCTGCCCACAAACCTCCCTGGGACATGACGGTTGTCTTGTTCTCTAACACATTTTTCCCTTGGATACTGGTCTGGGGTGGACACCCTCATAGATGTGAGGTCAACAGGCGAGAATGCCACGCTTAAGAATCGTCAAACGCTGGGATCGGTCCCTACAGCGTGCTTGATTTCTATAGTCAATGGGCGACATGAGAAGGACAGAAGGAGCTGGAGGTGTGCCCCATGTTTTGAGGGTCCTTCGAGCCTCCGAAGGCTTGAATGGCCTGCTTCCAGTTTCGGAACAAGAGCAAGGGTGAAAGCAAGCCCAAAGGCCTATCAACGTACCAACGCAGTAGGGCCAAGAAGAATCAAGAAAAGAGTAGGACAAGCACAGCTGGATGAAAACTGCTTTGCATCCAAATCTTCGAGTTCCCAAAAAGCTGAGCTGCTGAGTGTAGCCAAAAGCACGTTAGACTGTGCTGGGCCTTGACCCACATTGGCGTGTATATGCCTTTGGGGACCCCTTTTAAACCAAAGAAATAAGCTCAGGTGTATCCCCAACAGCACACGGCGCTCTTTCTTGAGCCTTGCAGAACCCGGCGACCCTTACACCTGGCCTGCGCCGGAACTTTGCTCGAACCTAACTCCAGAGCTCGCCGACCCCCCCCAAACCTTATCTGGCCTGAGGCTCCTTAGCTTTCAGCAGTTCTTGGTTGACGCTGGAAGGAGGGCAAAAAAAATATTTTTTTGCAGTTCAGTGGGGATTCCCACTGAACCACAATAAGCAAAAATGTAAAATGTTTCCCAACAACAACCATGAGTTGGGGAAAAAGGAACACTCAAAAAGAGACACACGCCCAGATGAAGAAGCCTACCAAAAATTGACCGTTGTCTTGCCAATTGCACACCCGGAGTGCAAAAGAAACACCGTTCCCCGACGTTTCCTGGCAGAGCTGCTGCAAAAAATATTGACCCGAGTTGCATCATGTTTTGCAACATGGAACCCGCAACCCAGTGATCTCATGAGACAAGCAATCACTTCTCCATCTGTGCAAATAACGAAGGCCTCTCCTTTTGAGAACGCACGCCGAACCTGGGCTCCAAGGAAAAAGTGCGAAGGTTTGGTGCCTTCAAATCCCATGACTGGACAGCCCGCAGCAGGTTTGGGGTGAGCCCAGTCCCAGAGAAAGTATGGAACCTGAAAAGGTCCCCAAATTTTGGGGTTTCATGTCAATCAAGGAGGGTAAACCTGGGCTGGCTCAATCTGATCAGACTTCGTCAAACATGCCATCCAAGGAGCCAAGCTTTCTTCGGTGAGGACCAGCCCCTGCCCAAGCCGAGCGATGTCGATCATTTCGACGACCCGCTGCCAAAACTGTTTAGCTGCTGACTGGGTTCACCCAAATCTTGCGCGCCTTGAGCAGCCGCTTGCGAGTTCGGCTTGCATGAGTTGCTCGCAGCTTGAGGTTCTACGACAACCATTCGGAAATCCCACAACACCAAGCTTGCGGTGAGACATCGGGATGCCTGGATGTTTGTGTGTGTGTGTGTGTCACGGTCCATCTTTATTGCGCCCATGAATGACACTGGATGCTGCCAGGTTTGGTGAGTCCCAGTCAATGCTCAGTGGAAAAAAATCCTTGCCATTAAAAGAATAGCGGGACCCAATTTGGATGACAATCCCGAACTATAAACGGTTATATGAACTAAACCATTGCTTGAATTGTGGAAACTGAACCCAAGGGAGTGGTCTTACCATTATCCAAGGAGTTGATTCTCCATTCTTTCAACCATCGTTCTTTTCAAAACTGTTCTTTCTGGGATTCCGGAGGTTTTCTGGAAAGAAGGATCCCTGGGTTGGAAATAGAAGGTACCCCGAGAAGAAAAGTGCCTTGTTCTTGCGACCGATGTCTTTCCTATGCTGGAAAAATCGGACCCCAGCAAGAAAATCATCTTTTTTGCCTGGTCAGTGGAAAACAAAGGGACCCAAAAAAGGCAAAAAAAGAAAGGGAGCTAATCCTGGGGAAGTTTTTTTCCATCGCGCCTCCTCCAGTTGGAGGCGCCCGCATCGCAGTCGTAACCACCGGAGGAGCAGCCCACCCGGTGGTTCTCGCAGCACCACGCCTGCGGCGAGAAGCGCAGGCGCTCACCGCTTCAGGTAGCTTCTTTCCACTCGACATATGGCCGTGGCTCAAGAGGCCGGAACTCCAAAATGGGTGGCCCAATCGGAAAGTGGAAACATGGCTTGCCCAAAACCTGCGGAATTCACCCCTCCGAGCGAATTCAATTTTGAGCGCCCACATTGCTTTTCTTTGATGGGCCCTTTGGACAAAGTTCGGTGGGGGTTCATGTTCAACCACTTGAGCTCGGTGGTTCCCCAGACTTCATGGCCACGAGGCAGAAATCTGGTTGGACCAGCTCTACAAAAGAATCCCTATTCGACCTGACCAGTCGCTCTGGAACAACCCGCGTTTCGGTCGTTCTGGGCTTCTTCTTTCGCCATCCTCTCTTTTCCTTGAAGCATCGCCCAAAAAGTCGGCTCAAAAATCAAAGTGGGCCAAATCCAACAGCTTCTTCTCAGGTCCCAGTCTCACACACTCCTTGAACCCCACAAAGAAAAAAACCAAAAAACTCCTTGAACCCCAAAAAAGGACCAAAAAAAGCAGCAAAATCCTTGAACCCAAAAAAAGGCCGCAAAAAAAACAGCAAAGTCCTTGAACCCAAAAAACAGGCCCCCAAAAAAAGCAGCAAAGTCCTTGAACCCAAAAAATGCCCAAAAAAGCAGCAAATTCCTTGAACTCAAAACAGGCCCCAAAAAAAAGCAGCAAAGTCCTTGAACCCAAAAAAAGGCCCCCAAAACAAAGCAGCAAAATCCTTGAACCCAACAAAAAGGTGCCGAGTTGGTAGACGACCGTATGGTTTTTTTCATGGGGGGGGAGTGGGGGGGGGGGGAATGGTAGCGTTCACGTCGACCAGATCCCCGCCTGCCCGATCCCCGCCTGCTGCAGAAAAGCACGATCTTTCCGTCCTCGGTCCTTGTTACTTCTGACTGTACATGCGGGCATACATCTTCAAGCCCTGCGCTAAAATCTGGCGAAGCCGTTTTGGGCTTCGGTCTGGCGCGTTGTGCCTGACGAGCCATGAAAACACCAGGACCTTCACGAAGATGTTGATGCTCCGATCCGGCGCGCGGGCATGCAGGCCTTGTTATCTAAGGACCGCCACCGTGAGTCTATGGACATTCCCACCATCGGTCGGGGGCGGGCTGCTTTTGTGCACCACTGTGCTGTCAACGAAGGAAATGGCCAGTGGCCCGTTCCGTTGGCAAACCCCCAGGACCCGCAAGTACAAGGCGAACACCAAGCTCTTCCTAGGGTTCTTCTTTTTCTCCTTGGCAGAGGCACTCGTCTTTTTCGCTAGCGCTTTCTGGATCTCCTCTTGGAAGTGCACGTTCCGCTCGGAGACGAAGGTCTTCAGCACTTCGTGCCCGTCACCTTCTGCAGGATTGGCCACCTTCTGCTTCTTGTTCAAGTGCTCTGCGTACAAGGCCTCCGCTCTCTGGCACGTCCAAATGACATTCTCCGCGCAGTAGCGGCCGAGTCCTGTCGTGTGTCGCGGCCGTGAGGAAGGGAAGCTGGGCATAGGCATCCAGTGTTTCCTTCAGCTCCTGCGGGCCCATCCTGATGCCTCGGAACGCGGAGATGGAGTCTTTCTTGTCGCACAATGTCTGGTGAAGCGAGTCCAAGTACATTGGGTCCACGCTCAGGAACGGCTTGATGATGTCGTGCCACTGCCAATCTCGCGCATGGCCAGCTATACGTATGAGTAGAATGTACGCTACCGCCTGGGCTATGAGGGCTTGCCGCATGGTCACGGCTGCGGTCAATGCAAGGTTGCTCACACAATGCCTTGCTCCTGATGCAGCAAAAAACTACGATGTTGCATAAAACATGGGGAAAAACCAGCAAAAATCAATGGCGTTTCAAAAAAAAACGGTCAGATATCAGCTCGGCGCGAACAAAAAAGCCCCAAAAATAGCAGCAAAGTCCTTGAACCAAAAAAAAGGCCCCAAAAAAAAGCAGCAAAGTCCTTGAACCCCAAAAAAAAAAAAAAAAAAAAAAGCAGCAAAGTCCTTGAACCCAAAAAAAGGCCCCCAAAAAAAGCCGCAAAGTCCTTGAACCCAAAAAAAAGGCCCCAAAAAAAACACAGCAAAGTCCTTGAACCCAAAAAAAGGCCCCAAACACAAGGGTGGGGGCAAAAGGCGGCGCCTGTCTTCGGTCGGACCAGGACTTCATGTGCATCTGGGCAGCCACCTGAGAGCACATGAATCCCCGAACCGCAGCGACCGCGAAAGAAAAAAGAAACTCGGAAGCCCCGGCGAAAAGCCATAGGTGCTGCTGGGATCCGTGTCCCCGAAACCGGACATCGCCTTGCGAACTTTTTCATGGTGAGAGGTTCTATGTAAGTCTGCAGATTAAACCAACACTGATTGAATCATCCCAGTTCAACTGCAGCACTGGGGACAAGGGCTAGCTGCTTTTTCTGCTTGTTTCTCTTCTTCTCTCGTTCTTGACTTCTCTCTTTCTTTCCTCTTTGTTTTTGGGGGCGTCCCATTTTTCGGAGGCCCCCGTTTTTGGGGGTCCCTTTTCTTGCCCTCTTTGTTGGGTCGACGGCTGGTTTTCTCCCCCGGCGCTTGCTTGCGCGCGCTGAGCTCTGCACGGAACAATCGAAGGGTTTCGTGGAGCTCCCCTGGCCGCGCCGAGGTCTCCGATCGAGGGGCGGAGCTGGATGGGTCCAGCGGTCGGCGGTCCAAGGGAGGGGGTTTCCCTAAGACGATTTCAGCAACCCTAGGGAAATATTTTAGGAAAATCTAGGGGATACTAGAAAACCCTAGGGCTCTCAACTACCCCCCTTACTGACGGCACCTACCCCCCTTACTGATTCAATAAGGTTTGGAGACACATAAGAAGTTCCCCTGCCGAATTGGCACTTTCAATGGCCTACATGCACAAAGCTTGGAAGGCAATTGGGCATGTGCTAAAGTAAAATCCCTCCCCCCACACAAATAATTAACAATAATAATAATAATAATAAAGAGAACGGAAAACATGATGAAGTCCCAGCCATCAAGCCAACAGTTACCTGGCCGGGCGTGTTGGGCCCCTTGGCCTGTGTCACCCCCATTTTTGCCGTGCCGCTCCTTAAACACCGGCCGATGGTCCCAGCCCGTCGTGCCACCAAGCTGAAACAAAAATCGGAGCCTCCGCGCAGCCTTTGGCAAAGTGCGTGCAGCACCACTTCTTCTGGCCTCAGATGATTGTGTATTTTGAGTTGCCTTCCTAGAAAAGGAGTTCACAACGCCGAAAAGAGAAACCACTATTGTGTGTGTGTGTGTGTGTGTGTTTTTAGTTGCCTTCCTAGGGAAGGAGTTCACAACTCCGAAAAGAGAAACCACTCATGTTGGGTCCCATCCAAACTCTACCTTCCTGAGGGAAATGCAAGGACCCCGTGGTCGGTGGGCGTCTCAATGCAGACCAAGGCGGTCAGTTTCAGCTAGGTCCATGACACGAAATGAGCATTGCCCAACTGGGTTAGCAAGTCTTATGCAGGCTTTGCTATTATGCTGTATGAAACATATAGCAGAACCACCTACTGAAGGGGGTGCTTGCCTAAGGATAGTGGATGCCATCCGGTCGCTGCATCTGGGGCATTTCGAGGAGGATTCCATCTTATCGAGCAGGACTCGCAACAAGTCAATTTGCCAACCAAGAACTTCGCACCGCACCCTCATAAAAAGAAACAAAAAATCGCAAGCCGGGGAAAAACAAAGCCTTGGGGCAGATGCCACGAAGCAGCGGCGTCCACTCGGTTCAGATTTGTTCGAGCGGCTGGCAGACCACCCGCGTTGCATCTCCAGCGTGGCAGCCTGGAGATCCGAGTCGGCCTTTTTTGGTGTGTATTATATCCAATATAAGTTAATCCATATAAAGTTTACTTATAAGTAAAATATTATTTAAATAGTATTTAAATATATATATATATACATATACCTTTACATTGAAATTATCTAACAAGCGACTCCATAATAACGAATGTCTCAGCCATAACCTTCCCCCACTTCCGGCTTGGGCTGACCCGAAAGAGGCCGATGCCGAGGGCACCAGGCACCAGGCCCGGGCTACTCCCAGATCCGAAAACACCAGGCAGGTCCCGTTGAAAAGTGCTCAACTCATGCTTCACTTGGCGGCTAAGAAAAAAAAAATATCTGCCGGATGCTTTGGGGAAAAAACATACCCCCATTTGTTGGCTGATCTTGGGATCGCCATCCTTTCCGTCAAGAACAAGGCACCATGTCCCCGTGCCTTGAGGCCAAAGTATCCTCAGCTTACCGTTTTCTCCTAGACCATGGAGAACAAAAAAACGCACCCCTTTCGAGGGAGCCCAAGTAAACCCGGCAGACGATCGAAAAGCCGCGCCCGCTGGTGAACCAATGCCGACATGCAAAGCAGAGAAGGCTGCGAACGCTGGTCAAACATGTGACACTGCCACCTGGTTGACTCTGGGTGGCACCCACCAAAACGAACGAACTGTAGCCATCTTAATAGACCCACACAAGTTCTGCTGTTGACCGCGGCTCAAAACCTTAAAATAATAAACCCATCGCCTTTTGGCTTCCTTTTGATGGGGGGGGAAGAAAAAAAACGTCCTCGTTTTGCGCCCAAAACCCGCCTGGCAGCTGAAGGGCGCGGAGTAGGCCGGGCAGCCCACCTGCTTGTGGAGGCAGCACCAGTCCCGGCGCTCCTGGCAAGAGGCTCGGTGAGTTTGCGGCTGGAAACAATTTTATGGATATGGGTCCCAGAAAAGGAAATGTAGTGTGATTTTTTGCTTATGGTACCAAATGAACGCCAAAAGGAAAACTGGCATTTGTCATTCTTGACGGTAACCTTTTGTTGTGGTGTTCAAGGGAAACCAAAAGGAAACCCACCTTTTTAGGGGGTTAAGCATGATTTGATGATCTCTGATGATGTCTCGTGGTTTTGGGGATCCCTCAGGGTAAAGGGCCCAATGAATCTACTCTCAGCCATCCTCGCAAAACATGTGTCATGATTCCCGCGTCACACGGCCTTGCAACCGAGTCATAATCAAAACCCGGTATCCAAATGATCTACGAACCATGCTTCAAGAATTTAGAAGGCAAATGATCCGCTGTGTTTGTTGTTTTTTTAATGGCCAGGGGATTCTCCCTAACCTGCATCTACCTGGCCCCATGATTTTACCATCAAAGTCACCCCCCTTAAATGCTAGGTAAAAAAAAAAAAGAAGAAAAAAAAAAACGAGTTTCGGTTTTGAGCACGTGCCACAGCCACCTCGGAACCTCCGAAGCTCCGAAGCTCCGAAGCTCCGAAGCTCCGAACCAACCTCCGTGACGGTTCGCTCGTCCTGGTCCCAGACGCTGACGAGGTTCACACTGCTGGTGTGGCAGTCGAAGGTCTTCGGGCAGCCCTCGCCAAGTCGGGGGGGAGTGGTCTTTTCTTATCTTTTGTTTCTTTCATTTATTGGGCTTTTTTTTGGGGGGGGAGGTTTGGGCTTGGGTTTAGTTGTTGTTTTGCTAGTTTTTTGTGTTTTTTTTGGGGGGGGAGGTTTGGGCTTGGGCTTCGCCAAAAAAAGAGAGACGCCATGTCCAGTGGAGGTGACTATCCAGAACACACGCGGCAGAAAGACGGTCCAAGCGGGCCGGTTTGCGTCCTGGCTTTTTCAGCCGGAGAAGCAAACGCCAAAGGTTCGAAAGGCACAGCGCGTTTGTCTTGTCTGTCTTTTCTTTTGTGTCTTTCAAACGCAGGGAAGCCCACGAGTGGAAGCCACTTAAGCTTTCAGAGTCCAGGCTCTGCACCTCAAGGAGTCTGGAGCTCACCTTCAAGACAGCTTCTCAAGCATGCGCTGCTTCTGAGGCGCTTTGCATGTGCTTTTGACGGGCCCAGCCACGAACATAGCCGGCAAAAGCTCGGGACTTGCCCAAGGGCCTGATGTTATGAGAGCACCAGGCAGCCAGAGGCTTGAAATGAAGTAGTAGTTTTGCTTTGTTTGCATTTGGCGTGGTGCATCCATTGCACCTATTTGTATTTGGTTTTGGGTGTAGATTTTTGTTGGGAAGAAGTTAGGTACCTTTGTACGTCTAGTTTTGAGATTGTGTTTTTCGAACTATATCAGGTGCGTGCCGTTTCGGGGTGGGCAGAAAGAAGGGGGGTGTTCTGCTTTTGCATGACAATTGGCTTCCTAACAATCATAATCATTTGCAATACTTTGGGCTCAAGGCCTTTCCAGTCTAATGCAGACAAGAAGGAGCCCGTGGCTGATCGCGCCTTCCTGTGACACAAAAGGGAGAGACAGATAGGACACCAGGACACTTTCGAGGTTCCTCAATCTTCAATTGACTATTTCGGATATAGACCCAGGGAATCAAGCGTCCGTCCATTGCTGGGGGGTCGGGGTCCTGACCCCCCTCGGTATCGGTCCACGGAAGAGCAGACGCGCAGGTATGGACAATCTTGCTGGTGCGATAAGTAGGGAATGACCGAGCCCGTGTGTTGGGAATGAACCGAAAGGGGATTTCCTTAAAGGAAACCAAATCGGGGATGGAATTTCTCGGACCTATTGAACGGCCCCTGCCTTGGAACTCTGAACAACCATAGGTGGCCTTTTGGAAACATAGATGGCCCCGGTAAATGGAACAAACCCCATCTAAGCCAGGGCCCTCTATTTGTTAATCAAACCAACCAGAAAGGACACCACACCTATGTGAACAACCCCCCGGCCTTGCCCGAGGTCTCGCAGCAGTAGGACTTCTGCTTCTGCCCCCAGTCAGCCACCGCAGACTCGGTTTTTGGTCGCAAGCAGCCGACAACTTGAGAAGCTTTGGACAACTCGGAATGAAGACAATTTGGTAAAAGCAACGGAAACTTGTTGACCAGGACGGTGTCAACCGTGTCAACAACCTATGCATGTTCAAAACTCAGAACGAAGCAACGGGAACTTCTCAACCGTTAATATTATTGAACAAATTAGTTCATGATATGATATCAATATATTCGACATCTGAGACAGTGCCAACAATTTATGCATGTTCGACGATGGGCTCTGACAGGAGATCCCATCAGTGTGCGTGTGCCTGTGCCTGCGCGCCTGTGCGTATGCGCGCAAGTTGCGCACACACAGACTCCAATGTTTAACATGTCCAAAACTAGGGTCCAAGCAAAACTGAGAGCCAGCGGGACGGGGAAATTCCAAGAAAATTCGCAAAAACATGCGATTCCAAGGTCGAAAAGCTTTGGCTCATTGGGCTCCGTGCCTAAACTTCAACCCCGAGCAACCAAGCCAGATCAACGCAGCCCAAAAGCCCAGAACACCAAGCCATATGCCATCTTCCTACTTCCCTCCTGGCCAAGGGAGCCAGACCTCCACACCCCCCCCCCAGACCCCCAGGCCCCCTCCACCCACCCCCCCCAGGCCTCGCAGTTGAACCCGGACTCGCAGCCCATCTGAAACTTGGCGCAGCAGAAGCCCCGCTTCGCCCCCGACCAGTCCTTGAAGCCCATGGTATAGCCTAGCGGCAGCTGGGCTCGGGCGGGGACCTCGACGCTTCGCGCTTTGCCGCGTGTCTGTTGCGTCGGGACGTTTTTTTTTTTGGTTTTTTTTCCGGTTGGTTCAATAGGACACCTGCTGAGTTGGGATCCATAGATGGGTTTTTCCCTGGTAGATGAAACCACCAGGGCAACCAGGAATCGAAACCCATCTAGTGTTCGACCAAAACAACCAAAAAGGGACACCTATGGTTGGGACGGTTTTTGGGGTTGGTTAAATGGGAAAGGACGCCAAGCATCTGAGGCACTCACCGATTGCAAGGAATCAACACCGCACCCAAAAGTCACTTCAGTTGCCCCAGCGCGTCCCCAAGTCCCCAAATCCGCGAAATGCCCCCCCCCCCCCCCCCGGTCATCTTTATGTTGCCAACTCATCCGAAAGGAGGCCTTCCTTTGCTTTGCCCACGTGTTTCAACAGAATCACACTGCTGTTTGTACATCAACTCACTTAGGTGTCGATTGCAAAGAGTCGCCGGTTTCCGATGGGAAGTACCTCTCATGCCAGATGCCAAGGGGGGCCTTGGCTTTAGAAACCCCGACTCTTTGTGAATTGGCAACCATGAGTCCAGTCACCGCAGCTGCCCCCAAAACATGCAATCGCAAAAAATAGCACAGAGGAACAAGGCGCCACACACGGTTGCAGAACAAACGCCCGATGCAAACAGCACAAGAAAAATGCAGAAGATGGATGATGGCATGCGCCTCTGCAAAAGTCGAACAAGCCCTGACTCTTATATCCGCCAACATTGCTTGGCGTGTCAGATACTTAAGAGAGGATAGAGAATAACCCCCCCCCCTAAAAAATGTAGAAAAGGCTTGTCCTCGGGGGTGGGGGGTAGATGGTTGCCTATTCTGTTTTTTATTTCACAATTCAACACGTGTACCACCTTATCCGTTTTTAAAAGGCTGATTTTGGGGGTATGAAATAACGATATGGATGTGGTAACGAATTGATGATTTGGTCCCCTGTCTCGTTCCAGATTTCAACTTTTAGTTTTATTGATTGAAAGAGGATAGGACTTTCTGCGGTTTCATGGGTTGGCTTTTGGGCGGTTGTTGTGGTTTGTCATTTAATGAAATGTTTATAGATTAAAAGTTCACTATAATTATAACATATAAGAGTATAAATGATATAATTATGGTTTAGTTATGAATTACACAGGTTCATCAACAATTAGTTTAAACCTTATGTTTTGTACTCCTCCAAAATTCATTCTACTTCTTTCATCATCAATACATCTGTATATTGTTTGATGTGCCTCTATCATTACTTCGGTTATATTATCTATGGTTATATTATCTACAAAATCATCACTATGAAAATGAAAACTAAAAGTGTTAAAATGGTCGTCTTCATAATTGAAATGATGAAACCTTACAAACATATTTACCTCAACTATTATCACTGCTTCATAACCGTTATCGGTTTCAATGCCATCTAACAAACAATCTAAGTTTTCATTTTCATTAAACACTATATCTTTGATGCTTTTTATGCTTAAAGGTATATTTCTTGAAATGTAATACTCAATTACGTGTCTATTTATATCATCGCCATCTTCAACAGTATAGCGCTTTGTCTTTCTTTTTGTTTCTGTTCTGTCTATTTTATATCGTTGTTGTATTCTCTTTAATGTCTTAATATGATTATGTTTTAGTTTCAAATACTCAGGTCGCCCTAATTTATATGCAATGATACCTTTTAATACATCAGCAGGTAAGCTAGCACAATTCTCAAATATAAAATTATTCTCTGACATTTTACCCTCACTCATTTTTCTCTTAATATATAAGGCTTTTTCTCTTTAAGTAGTTTTGGCTAGGGGTTGCTGGTTGGCCAGTCTGGGTTTCAGGTTTAATTTAATTGTCTTAACCTTCTTGTTAGATTATAAAAACAATGTTTAATCATATTATAAGATGATAATATTAATAAACAAAAGTTAATTTGACCCGTATTCAATCTCACCAGCGATACAACCAATATAACAACTCATACTATACTCACAACAATAATGCCCGTATCCTTTTATTAATTGGTCTATGTAAATGTCAATTAATTCGCTAAGAATATATCTCATATAATAATTGTTATTTCTATATGACCAACAACTGTTTAGGTTTGGAAAGCTAAATCCACAACGTTTAAAATTTTTTAAATCTTCAATGTCAATACATTTTTTTAAAATGATACAAACTTCATATTCATTATTCTTACAGTATGATTTTAATGCTTGATAATACATTTTTCTATTTTTAAACCGTTCTTTAACTTCTTGTATATCAAATACTCGGTCAATGTGTTTTCTGTAATGTCTTATTTTCATACTATATTGGTTTTCTGCTAGTAGAGTAAACACATTATTTTGCATTAGTTTAATAACTTGTAATTGAAGTTCTGCTTTTTCCAGTCCTTCTTCAGGAATGTCTTTATCTCTCATAAAATGTTCTTCTTCATGCATCAAATACCAGCAATCAAAACATGTTACTCTAATACAGCCACCTATAAGTTTACAAACATTAACAGGTAAAATATTAGCTAGTGCTACGACAGACTTACATTTTTTATTTTTACAAGGACAATTATCATAATTAAACAGTGTCATTTTTTCTCTTACTATATTATATCCATTTTTCTTTAAGTAGTTTTTTTAATGTTAAGGGGTGGGGGTTATATCGATAAAAAATATTTTCTAATAAATAATATAATGGCGAGATTAACGAAAGACCAAATAATCAGCAACATCTATTATGACTTAGACGAGGGTTTCGGAAGCACACAGGCAACACACAAGAAGGCAAAGGAAGAAGACCCAACGATAACATTAGAAGATGTAAAGTCTTTCTTAAAGAAACAACCAAATAAACAAATCAAAAATTATAGAGGCACTAATTCCTATACCGCTCCCTTCGCACGATATGAATATCAAATAGACATAATGCATATGTCCCCTTTAGCTAAAGACAAGAACGTTCCACAGTATGCTTTAGTCGTGATTGACATCTTCAGTAAATTAGCAGATGCAATTCCGATGGAGGAAAGAGACGGAGAGCACGTTCTAAAAGCACTAAGAGCAAGTTTTAAAAAGATGGGTTATCCGATGTCTGTGTATTCTGATGATGATGGAGCATTTGCAACCAAAAACCAAGTTCAGGATTTCTTCAACAGCGAAGGTATCAAACACATAATAACGAAGACACACGCAAATGTAGCCGAACGTTTTATTAGGACGATGAAAAACAAAATTCACGATAGAGTTAGGTTTAATAATATGAAATGGACCGATGCCTTAACACCAGCATTGAAACAGTATAACAGCACATTACACTCGTCAACAAGGATGACACCAACCGAAGCACACAAGGACGACAATGAAATAAATGTAAAGGTCAATCTGAAACTACGAGAAAAGAACAAAAGAAAGTATCCCAGAATACAGGAGAACGATAAGATAAAAGTGTTTCAAAAGAAAAGGGGCAATTACACCGACAGAAAAGAGTATAACTCTAAATGGTCTAATAAGATATTCAATGTTGATAAAATTGAATATGATATTATGGGCAATAAAACTTACAGAGTAGCAGGAATAAACAAACCACTTCTGAGACACGAAATTTTGTTAGTTAATGATTAAACATATTTCTTGGTATCTTCAATATACTTGACTTGGTAGAAATCCAGACTTGATTGTTTAGGTTCTTTAATAACTTTTTCATTAAGTTTTTTAATATATACATTTCGTTTATTCTTGTATTCAGTGCTCTCTCTATCAACTTCTTTTGGTTGGTAATTATTAGTATTATTGTAAGCTGGTTTCTTCATACTTTCTAACAGTTGATAAATGCGTTTATTTTGTTCCATTATTTCATCAATTTTCAAAAATAGTTTATCCACACCTTCCATATATACTATATTATAAAACTAAAGTTTTAAAACTAAATATTTTAATTTCGAATGTCTCTGTTTCTTAAATGTTTAAATTCTTCGCCTTTTACCATAACTCTAACAATGTTATCTAAATCTTTTTGAGTATGTCCACATACTAACGCTTTGTCCAGATATAAATATTCATAGCTAAGACCAACACTAAGTAATAAACAGTTATATTTTTTAGTTTGAGTACGAGTTAAGACTATTTTACATCCACACTTACAAGTATAATAACTAACACCATTATAATTATTGTCTCCAATTTGCTTGTCTAATTCAAGTGCTCCAAAATGTAAATGTGTTAAACTTGAAAATTCAACCATATACTATATTATTCAACTATACTTTTAAAACTAAATGTTTAAATTATGTTAATTCTAGTCTTTAAATACTAATTTTTCATCATTTGTTTAATAGTTTCCTGTGTTTCGTTATCAACATTATCTGACGTTGTAGCTTCATTTCCAAATTTGATGCAAATATTATGAGCATCTGTTTTTAAGTTGATGCCGTCTTTAGTTTTATCAATGTTCATTTTCTTATCATTTTTAGATATTTTGAACCCTATTGGCACACAACTGCACTTGCAATTACCCTTATTTTTTATTTCTAATTCATTTCTAAGTTCTAACATTCTTTTACATGTAGGACAAACAACCTCAATAACTGATGTTTCTTTAACAATTTCTTCATCAGTTGATGAAACACTTAAACCTGTCTTATTATTTTTGTTTTTCTTTTTTGGCATTTATATTAATATTTACATTTTTATTTTTGATATATTGTATTCCTAGCTTAATTAATTCTAATGAATAATAACAACATTTCTTAATTTTATTATCGGTTATTAGTACTTGTTCTATATTCTCCATTTCATCTATTATATCAATATAATCTGTATAACTCCTTTTCATATTAAATAATAAGATAAATTATTTTTCATTTCTGTCTTTCTTTTCTTGTACAACTTGAAAGAACTTATCAAGTTCTTTCAAGTTCTAGAACTCTAGGAAAAAAGTTCTTTTTCCTAGAGTT